TGGGTTCGATTCCTCAGCACCACATAAGCAAAAAGAAAAAAGCCGGAAGTGGCGCTGTGGCTCAAGCGGTAGAGCGCTAGCCTTGAGCTGAAGAGCTGAGAGACAGCGCCCAGGCCCAGAGTTCAGGCCCTACAACCGGACCCCCCCCCCAAAAAAAATAAAACAATGGAAAGGGCTAGGATGTGGCTTAGCAGTAGAGTGCTTGCCTAGCATGCATGAAGTCCTGGGTCTGATTCCTTACTACCACATAAATAGAAAAAGCAGGAAGTGGCGCTGTGGCTCAAGTGGTAGCGTGTTAGCCTTGAGCAAAAGAAGCTCAGGGACAGTGCCTAGGCTTAGATTTCAAGCCCCAGGACTATCAAAAAAAAAAAAGGAGACCCCTGCCATTTTTCTTGGGGAATAAAGTCACAGACTTGGTATCTCTGGTTTCTTGGTCTTCTTTGTTTTGGCTGCCTGACAACTTCATGTGCAGCTGTAGGGGAGGAAGAGACACTGGGTAGAAAGCAACAGCAGGTGTGAGGGGTCACAGGACCAGCAGAACAAAGCAGTGGCTCTGGGCAGGGCCTTCACAGCCTTCCTCTGTGCTGGAGGAAGCCCAGAGCCAATGATACCAGCAATCAAGGGGTAATTATGGAAGACACAAGACCCCAACAGGGCCCCTTCCCTGCCCCCATAAAGGCTGATCCCAGGGGCATGGGTCCCAGATGCCCCTGCAAGGCTCTCCACAGGGCTTGGCGGGTGTGCCTGCGGCTCAGGCGCCAGGTCAGAGGTGTTGGCTCTCACTGCTTTCCCACCCAGGCTGCCCCCTTCCCCACGATACAGCCACAGGAGCCACACTTTCTTCCTTTGCTCTGGCTTTGGCACAGTCATCCGAGAGGGGTGAGGGCAGGGAGGGCCTGGAAGGAGTTCCACAGTCTCGATTCCTCTGTGAGAAATCCAAACCACATTTGGAAAGTGGAGCCTGAAACTGTGTTAAAGGGAAAGGGAAGGGGGGGGAGGAAAATCCCCATTAAGGAAGCCCAGACCACAGGGCCTTAAAGACTGCTTGTAAATGTCCTGCCGCCCCTTTATGGCAGAGCTGGCTGCTGCCTCTCTTCAAAGCCCGGCAGATG